CTATGTAGTGTTAGTTTGATTATATAACTCGATATGTCAAAGGCATGAGTGATGAGTAGGCTCTGCCCACGGTCGGTTCAAGGGGTAGGTCACTCAGAACAATGTGCCAAAAACACAGTTTAGCATACCATGGCTCACTCATTGGCACTGTTTGGCACCCATGGTACATATTTGTTGTGATCTCTAAAGTAACTGGCATCACTGTAGTATTTATGCGCATGCGCAGTGAGGATGTGTCAAAGTTTGTTTATTGACACAAATAATTTTCGGTATCCGCAACAAATAATTTCGCTGGAGCCTCCAACTCCCCTTACTGCTATGATCCACAATCGGAGCAACGGAAGATGCCGACATCACGATGACGACCGGGTGGATTTAATATGAATCTTTGAAAGCCACCACAGGAGTGCATAAACTGCTACGGAATTGGGAAGTTTATGCACTTTCAGATTTTTTACGGATTTTGAAGCAAAAACATTAATTAACAATGCCTATTGTAGAACTACAGACATAGATACGCTATCCAGCACACCAACAAAACCAGCAACCGGCCGAATCACCAGGAAGCATTTAACGCTCAATCTGGACTAGTTCAGGATTGATTAAAATAGAATCACTGCTACTCCGCCACTAGAAATTTTAACCTCAGTTCCCGAATGAAATTAATTCAAAAATATATTATTTACATAGCTGTGCGACGACGATGGTCCCGTCTGGCTGGAGCAGATATTTGCATCTACGTAATACTTCTAAGGATTGATTTCGTACGGTTAGCAGGGGATGATTTTGGGAAAATTGAACTGTGACGAATTGATTTCCTGCGTCATCCATTCCGCCTCCAGTAGCCTCCTGATGGTGATCCGAGTTTTGGGATTCTTGTCAACAGATTTCCTCAACGTCGACGTAGGGTTACTCGAAGAACAACAACACGTACAGTGTCACACAGGGAGCCCAAATTTCCAGTTCAGGACAGGAGTAGCGGTTGCCTACCAACACATCCGGGCTGCAGTACACGGTCGTGCTGTAGAAGGTAGAAAAATGTTGCCCTTCCTGTACGAACGTCACCGATCCGAAGTCAATAAGCTTGATATGGGAATGGTGATCGATGATAACGTCCTTATCTTTGAAGTCCCGGTGCAGAATGTTCAATGAGTTCATTCCCGATGTTCCTCACCAGCGTGTAATATTTGCTGTACTCTCCGTGGATCAAACCTTCATCGCACTGTGACATATAGGAGATGGAACTGGGCCTATCCGAGAGCAGCAGTATTATTGATGGGCTGCGCATTCTGTTGATCTGGCATTGACGTGACTATTGTCTTCGACAGCTCGTACGGTTTGATATACCAAAACAAAACATTTGAATTGTCAAAATACCGGGTTGCCAAACATATTCACTTAACAAAATCAGTCCGCTGACATGGCACTCTCGGCACAGCGCGGCACACTGAGAAAAATGTTGGCGCAAAATATGAGTGTAGAGTGACCACCCCTTGGTTCGGTTGGCAGAGCTGTCTAAATTTGTCGTTTTTTTTCGCGTAAGTGATTTCCGGTATTGAAAAACGTTATTGGAAGTGGTATTGGTACGGTTCTTCGGTTGATGTAGTGTTTCAGCCAATACTCGGCATTTACCCCGACGGGAAATTTGAAGTGAAAACTTAAATTGAACGAAGTTCAAAAGTTCCTTGCGAAGAACATGGAAATCGGAAGTGGTTACAACAATAGGGGGAACCTTTTCCATTTTTGGCACTAGGCCGGGAATTTTTAATGGTTTTTTGCCAGGATGATGGATCATTCTCGTCATCCGTAAGCATATCAAATTGATTTCTCAATTTAATTTCAACAGAAGGGGAATCAAGCGATTGCCCTTTTCTTTTGCGCTTAGGCATGGCGATAGAGCCAAGTTTTTTTTAAATCGACTTCCTAGCAGTTTACAATAAGAATCCGAAGGATCGAAGAGGTAGGGTATGGTCCAAACAAAGATAGAAGAAAATAAGAACTAAACAAGGTAGAAATTTTACAGGTTGAGCACTGTATAGTGCTGGTTAAATTTGTTGTAGCTTTAGGTAGCATTAACGTTTTTTTTTCCATGATTTGTTTTCCGTTGATCTTGTTTTCCGTGCTGAGCACCAATTCTATCGACGGCAGGGAGGAAGCAGCTCCCACACCTGGACCCAACCTATCGTCCTATTAACTCATGAACCGGGGACCAACGGCTTTACTTCCCGAAGGAAGGCGTGATCAGAGATGTTATGTCTTAGAACATCCAGGCCTGCTGGGGTGAGAGGTAAAACGCTTATCACTACACCACCGGTGCCACTAGTAGTAACACTTCCATCAGCAAAAAGCAAATAGATCCGCACGGCAAGAGAGCACGATGCGGACACACTCAATTTAGTTTGCTGAATCTCGGTAATTTTTCCCGAGATTTGCACAGCCAAACTTCTGGCAAACATCTCAGCAAAAGTGACGTATCCCAAGTAAAAATTTTGGTTTTATGAGGGTTCTGTAGATCATGATTTAGACTTGCAGCATGCTTTAAAACCACTATAAAACTTGCAATGTTACTTGGGATGCTTGCTGAGTCTCGGAAAATATTTTGCTGAATCTCAGCAAAAAAAAAACGTCATGTTTGCTGAGATCTCAATAAAATTTGATGCCAAGCACTCGGCTGTGTAAATCTCCGCAAAAAAGTGCCGAGCTGGCGAAAACAAAACTGAGTATAAATGAAAATATTCTACAGGGTGCGTGACGAATTTTTGCAGTAAATGGCATATTTGAGAAAAAATACACCAGTTAGTTATTCTAGCAATGAATTTTGTGCGATTTATTTTCTTTCGCAACATATGGAAGTTGTAAGTAAATTTATTCAAAAAAAATGCCTTCCCTTTCGACGACTGTAGTTAGACGCTTCCGGAAACTGCAGTATGCACGTTTTAAAATGTTTCGATCCATAGATGTCATCACTGCCTTGATTTTAGCTTTTAGCGACTTAAGTGTGGTGTGAGGGGTTCTATTGGTATCCCGTTGGACGACGCCCTATACAAAATAATCCAACGGATTGATATCGGGACTGCTTGGGGGCCAAATTTCTTCCTCCCAAATTTACGAAATATTTTCCGTATGCCATTTCTGTGCTTTATTAGCAGTATGAGCAGGTGCTCCGTCTTATAACTTTACCAAGCCTGTTTTAATATTATACACTGTTCTTTCAAACACATTTACCTACCGAATTATTTCTTTCATGCATACTCCGGCGCGCAACAAAGCGACAACGGCTGACAGATTGCCCTGTATCTTTGAAATTTAGTTAACTTCAGGGAAGTTAAGAGATTTTAATGAACGTTCCATGAGCTTTAAGGAAATAGAAAAAAAAATTGGGTACTTCAGGATCGATCAAAGAACTTGAATGCAGTTCAGCTACCTTCAGGAAAATTGCGGAAACTTTTAAATAGTTCTAAAAATTCAGGACTAGCAAACATTTGTGAAGATCAGAGATCTTAAGGACAGTTCCATTTACATTCCCGATCATAAGTTTGGGGTCCCAATTAAAAAATCTTGTTAATATTTTATGCTCACATCTCTGCCATTTTACGACTGATGTTCAATCTTTATAGATTATTTGAAAGATATTGACAATAAGGTAACTGGTTTAATACATTTAACAAATTTTTCATACTAAAACATCTCATAAATTTTCGACATTTTACAAATTCACAGTGAATATTCGTGACTGATTTTTTTCAGAATTGAGTCGGCAAAATTTTGAAATGAAAATTGTAGTAGAAAATCGACCAACAGTTTGAGGTCACCCACAATATAATTTGTCACTGCTATAAGTTTAATTGAAATGTTAGTGTATATATATATGAAAAGTATTATGAGCAACATAGAACAAATTACGATCATTTTTGAAAGGCAGCAAAGAGAACTAAAATCGGTCAAAAATGGTTCAATCTCTACAGGTGAAGTCAGATTCAAGCCCCTGCTAGCACACATTATCCACCAAACCATGAATTATTTCAGTTGAGTAATTAACGAAAGAGGAAATCGATTAAGATAATAGATCTAAGAAGATAGGACCTTTTGAAATATTTGTCTACAACAAGGCGCAAAACGAAACAAGGACTAATTTGTGTCATTTATGGTCTTCAAGTCCATTCTAAGTCTTATAAACCTCTACAAAACCATGATAAAACCGTAATTGTTACTTGGGTATGAAAAAACGAAAAATAGTCTGAACTAGGGTTCGGTAGTAGATCTTAAACCGTACTGACCATACAGAAGTGATCTACCCATGTTACGGGGGTCCATACGCACAGCTGGAAACAAAATGTAGGTCAGTGACGTACCCGCAGGAAAGGTGAGCGGCAAATGGAGCAATCTTGCAGGAGACAGTGGGGAAGACGGGCAACCGTCTGGTTAATATGGCACAAGGAGGAGTGCACATTCAGACAGAACTTTAGGTTCAAGGTTTTAAAAACACGAAACAAAGTGTTGTATCTACTAAGTAGTCAAAGAAAGTGGATCTATTAATATAGGATAAACCCACGGTAGTAACATAACAACTGGTAAGTAATTCAAGGTTATCTTCAGCATTCGGAAATGAAACAGTAACACCATTAAACCCGTTAACACTCCGAAAACGATGCCTCCGGTAAAATTTGTAACGGAAAATTGGCAATGTTTGATAAATCATATCTCAGCCATTTATTGACGAATTTTAAATCTATTGACGCCATTTGAAACTAAATAATATAAAGATTTAAAATCTTTTAATAAATTGCAGAGCAATGATTTTTCAAACATTGCCAATTTTCCGTTACAAATTTTACCGGAGGCATCGTGTTCGGAGTGTTAAGGTGCTACGTTAATTCCGCGGGAATGGTTTATGAAACTTATCGCGACCATTCTATTAACATCCCTCATCGCACCCGATCATCGCGATCAGCATCCTATAGACACAAGATCCAACTAGGAAATACTCCAAATCCAATTACCTGGAAGCCGTCGATTGCACATCGTTGTTGTTGGGGCTGAACCGCTCGCTCTTAATACTATTATTATTGCTATTGTTGCCAATGCTGCCGGTGCTGCTACTACTGCTAGTATTGTTGACGTTACTACTATTTTGGTTGTTACTATTACTCAAACTATTGCCACTATTGCCATCGGCCACCGATGCACTATTGCTGCCACTAATACCACCACTACTGCTACTGCTGCTGTTGGTACCGTTAGCCGTGACCAGCAGTCCACCTCCGTTCGCACTATTACCACTATTGCCATTATTGCTACCGATTGCACTAAGATCACTGGCGGCCAGCGCAGATTGGCCGTTTTTGATAAGGTTCAGCTGACTCAGCTCCATCTCGGCCGCTCCATTGCGGAGTTTTTCGTAGAAGGAACTGGCCGCGACCGCCGCCGCCGCCGCTGCCGCTGCAGATCCAGCAGTCGGCGAGTTGAGAAACTTCTTCCGATCGTACATCCGCTCGCTCAGCATCTTGTCTAAGGATTGCAGCGCGGCGACCTGACTGTTGAAGTTACTGCTGTGTATGTTGTTGTTATTGTTAAGCGGCGAATAATGACCACCGTCGTCATGGGTGGGAGTCGATGGATTGGAAGAAGGTGACCCCCGCCGACAGCCGTTTCCGTTTTCCGACAGTGCCAGCTGCAAACCGGTCGAGGTGGGGGTGGGAGGATTCGACGATCTTCTGGGCGACGCTTGGAAAGCCGCCGCCGCTGCTGCTGCCGCTGCCGTCGCCAGGGCTGCCACCGAACTTGCACCCAGTGCGGCCGTCAGAGCGGTCTGAGGTCCCGGGGAGGTCGACGAGGTGATTGATTTTCTTTTGCCACCGGAGCTACGGCGACGAGTCGACAACTTGCCAGCACCTTGCACCGCCACCAAGTGCGATAGCGACGACGAGGGCGACGAGGACGCTGATGATGACGACGACGACGGCTGTGATTGATTTGATGACGATTGCTGTTGGAGTTGGAATCGTTGCTGTTGTTGCTGTTGCTGCTGTTGCTGCTGCTGCTGCTGTTGATGTTGGTGGTGGTGATGCAGTAAGCTCGCTGGGGTTGCTTGTGGTAAATCTTCATTAACTGTTTCTCCTGCAAATAGACGCGAGTGGAAAGAGAAAAGAGGAAAATTCCAAATTAGATCGATTTATGTTTTTATGTGTCTTTCTAAAGTGGTTATTGTGGAATATATCTATCTACCTATAGGAAAGTGAACGGGGCCAAGCAGGGGAGAGGACAAGTGACCGAGTAGAAAAGACCACTAATGGAAATGATTTCCCTCGACCGACGACGACAAATGGTGCCGTAGTGCAGCGATTGTGGCTTCCTTGCGATACGACGAACCACATTTGTCCTATTGCTGCACTTTCCCAGGGGTCGAGGTGAACTTTTTTTGTTTGTAGATGATGCAGATGGGAAGTGGATTTCTTGCGCTTTCAACAAGTTCAATTATAACTGAAGGGTGGTCTAAGCTGCAAGCTTCTAGAAAACTGTTGACATTTCCTATTCACAATTAACCATTTAGTCAAGTTTTTGCATTAATTTTCCATCAGATATAACTGCTGTTGTTTGCGGTGACATCCAGCGCATATTACGCATTATCTGTTTTCCGTTAGTCGTTCACAGAGGACAGTACAGTAAACCTACAAATCCCTTTCACATTCTACAAAATAGAGTACCGTAAAACGGGGTATCTTTGATAATGCGGGTAACTTTGAAAGTAATATATAATGATTAAAATTACACTCTGCACTATTTCTGAATTAGCTACATTCGTTCCATTTTGAAGCTTAGGTTATAACTGTTGATATCGTATAGATTTTTTTGTAGTATGTGTTAGATATTTTCCAAATATCTAAAAAAAAATGTAAATTTTCTTGTTTTTCACCTGATTGAAAAGGCACTTAAACCATCACTTATTAAATGTATTTCCGATAAAGCCATCACAAATTCAATATTCTTTTCTTATTTCTTATGATGTTTCTTATTAAATACTCATTCAAATTTCTTATGTCTTGATCTATATTGTTTGAGATTCACGCATGGTTTTCTACATACAGCGAGTATTATCAAAGTAACCCCAAAACAATAAAGTGATGTTCGGTCGCAATACAAAAAATAGTGCAAATGCAATATTTCCCGTTAAACATATAACGAACGAATTTACTCTAGGATCCTCAGTACTTGTTCAAAAAAAATAAAATTTGAAGACATACATTATTGTAAAAAAACATTTAGAACATACTTAAAAAAAACAATCAAAGTTACCCCGTTTTACGGCAACTGATATTGCAAAACATGTCTGGTAGCTCTATATCTGCATATGGATTCACATCCGAAGTCCCTCCTTTTAAACATAGTCGGCACAAAAAAAAACACTTTTCAAGCCCCACCCCTCCTTCTCCCTCTCCACATCCATAAAATTATCATCCACTAACTTCGAGAAGACCGCGAGTATTCGGTTGAATTCCGTTAACTTTAGATTTAAGACATTGATAATGTATAACGGAAATGATAGATTGGCTCTGTAAAGTTTATTCGATTAAGCCTGTACAAATAAAGTAATTTTAACAACAGCCCCGTCCTAAGAAGATAAGAAATTACCTTTCGTGCCAAGTATGCAAAAAAGAAGGGACTCCAGAAGTACATAAATACGAGTACCCTCGACTTTTTCAGTGCCAGGTACTCTGCTCTGAAGTGTGAAAGGGAACTACTTGGTGTCTGGTAATTTCTGTCAGTAAACTGTATGGTCATAAAAATGAGAAGCTGGTATGAATTTTAATTTTCAGTGCATTTCATTGTTGAGTATATTTATAACATTTGTCTTGACTTAGTCCAGTTCAAATCTTTCTTCCATTGCCTTAATTACCAGCTGCATGCATTTTTGAAAAGGCATTTCGTCACCAAACGTTTCTCAAAAGTCTCCACGGTAAGTCCCTTGTGTTCCCTAGTTTGCCTAGCATGTAGTCCCATGCATAGAAGTCGAGAAGATTCAAATCGGGAGAAGAGGTAGGCCACTTTTCGACGAAATAAAATCTGGAAAATTGAAATCTCACCAAGCCTGTGTAGCTTTTGTCTGGTGGGATGGTGCAGAGTTTTGTTGGAAGCAGTATGCTGCATTTCTGTAGTGTTTCTAGACGAAGGGAAGCAAATGGGTCTTCAAAACATTATAGATGTAATATTTACTGTTTATTTTAACATCAGGTTCAATGAACAGCAATGAAACCTTCAAAGTTTTGGAGAAACATCCCCAAACCATGACCCTAGAAACATTCTGGAACCTTTAAATAGCCAGTTTGTCACGACGAATATCAGAAAGACATGCTGCATATACCCGATCTTTGTGATGATCCTGTAAAAGAAACATTCTGTCATTCGAACGGTGCCGCTTGAGTAGGCTTATCACGAGTTTTATTTTCGCGTTCATGATTTCCACGAATCTCAAATGAATGAAAATTAAAAATGAACTTGTCAGCATGTTGACGCTGACAGGGATTACCATTCACCCTGTATGATAGAGAAAAAAGCCGGACTATTGCTAATTACCAATTCTTCGAGATCTTTAAGCTTCCCCGAAAGTCCAGACATTTCTATATTATTCGGTGCTTCCCTGAAGTTATTTGAACTGCCGTAACGTTAATTTCCTGATGTTTTCGACACTTCCTAGAAGAGCACGGGTGGAAGCTGATCGCCTCGCCTCTTCCGGTAGACATATGTGCCTATAGACGCGTAAAGTCCCTGGCGCAAACCTCAAAAAGTGGATTTTTAGCATCACTTGAGAAGCCTGGAATAGGAACTGGATTAACTCCAACGACCTCTTCATCAGGAAAATCAAAGGAGACACGGGCAAATGGGATGATCCAGCACACCATCGCTCCCTCAGTGGAAACGGTGATTTCCACAAGACCTGCTCCCTATGCCACATTCATTACTCTGTTGAGCATTTCCTATGTCACTGCCCCAATACCAGGGAGCAAGAGAGCTTTACGGGATTCCAAGCAGTGTAAAAGACGCGCTCAGCTATGACGCAAACCAGACCGATCTGCTCTACTAGATTTCCTTAAAGAGGCAGAACTCTTCCACCTAGTTTGACAACTACCACTTCGGTGCTCGCTGCCGGCAGCGGACCTCTTACTGAAGCCTGCTACCGGTGGCACCCTCTTCTTCATCATGGACCGACCACCCGCACCATCACCCGGATTACCGACCTTAAACTGACCAATGATACAAACAAGACCCATGCGCACCAAAACTCGGACCATAGACCTCAACATTACTACGGCACAACCAGAACCCACCCGCAAATAACCCATTGACCCTTCCTGACAGCAAACTAGACAGCATACAACACTCTGTATTAAAAACTCTGCATTAGGGGGACCACCCTGGGGCATGAAGTAGTTTGCCTCCTCGTGGTGTGCCCTGGAAACGTTAATTATCGAACCCAAGGGAGAGATATTGAGGCTTAACGAACTTCAGCAGAGTAAGGACGCTGGAGCCACATTTAGCTCGTCCCAGGAGATCGATAAGCCCTGCACAAACCCTCGTTGTGCAACGGCAGGAGTGACACCGGGTTCTTAGAATGCTAAGCACACGGGAAAAAATCCGATTCCATTTTCATGAATAAAAAATCATGAAATGAAAAAACTTGCCATCCCATGAAATCGTAACAATGATTCATGATTTCGTCATGGAAATTCATGATTTCATAATGCAGTGGAATCAAGACCGCTACAAGCGTTACACGTACTTGGCAAACCGTTTTCATAAACCGCACTAAATAGGTATCTCTTATACGCCTTTTGTCTTCCAATTTATACAAGTGCTGATAGTCTAGTGGTGAAAGTATGGGTTTAGTGATCTCAAGGTTCTTGGTTCGAATCCAGTCTGATGCTTTATTTTATTCTTTTTGCATTTTTTGGTTAAAAGTTAAACCCATGAATTTAGCTCATGATTTCAACTCGGATGATTCATGATTTTAGGAATATTTGCTGCGTTACGCAAAAGTTGCTCATGATATCATGAATATTATTCATGGTGTATTTTCATAACATGAAAATACGCTGTGTTCATGAAATCATGAGTCATTTTTCTCATTTCGGAGATCGGATTTTTTCCCGTGCACACGCAACTGGTAAGCGGTCACATCTGTCCTGTGCTGCCGTGAAACGTTGGCTGGCTATCACGTCTGCTCTAGAACTATTTAACAATTAATAGCGCACAATAAGAGGAAGGCCCTGCACAGCTGTTCACTGTGCAGTAGCGAGAGTCACGTCTGTGACACACCACTAGTATTATGCGCCATAGCGCAACCGGCCCCCTCCCATGATGTAATGCTTTCGGGCGGTTCCGGGGAGGCCAAGGGCCAAGAGCACAGGGTAAGGTTTAGTGGGTCGGGAGCGCTACTTCTCCCATCCCCACACCCTGAGTTATCTTCTCAGGTGTCTGGGAGCAGAATCCCCCCTGAATAAAAAAAGGGGACCAACCTCGGAGATCCCCAGAGATGAACCAGCCAATGGCTGAAAGTATTTTCAGTAAAGTAACCTAACCTAACATAACCTAGAAGAGCACGGAAGTTCTCTTAAAAATTTTTAACTGCCCTGAGCTTCTCTGGACTTGACTGAAGTTTCCGTACCTTCATTAAGTTCCCTTATTTTTCAAAAAGTGTTTAGAACTTCTTAAAATTCTTGGAGTTTTTCACGGGTTCCAACATCATGCAAGTTCCAACAATTAATTAAATTAATCTTAACTTCTCTTGCCAGCCTAAAGGATGTCAGAACTTCGCTAAAAATTTAGGAACTTCCCTGAGTTTTACGAAACTTGTTTAAAAGGCCTGGAATTTCCTTGAAGTTGATTGAACTGTCCTGAGGTTCTCTGATGAACATAATCTGAAGTTTTCGCAATTCTCCTGTCCCACACATATTTAAACTTTCCAGAAACTCTTGAGACGTCTGTAAAGTTTCCAATATATGTCTAAAGTTTTCTTAATTGCTCAAGAATTCTCTGGATTTCCATGAAATGTCTGCAACTTCGTTAACATTCTCAAAATGTTCCTAAACTTTATGGAGCTGTCCTGAATTCATCAAAACTAA